TCAGAAGCCATCTTTCTCTGATCTTTCCCATCTCATGTTTGAAAAATGTCAAGCTTCCAGGAAAACCAAAATAATAGTATAGAGCACTGATATACTCTTCACCTACATGTAGCAACTGTTAATATTTTTGACATCTCCTTTTTTTTTGAGAGATAGATAGATAGATAGATAGATATGGGGGAGGGGCAGAGGGAGAGGGAGAGAAAGAATCTCAAGCAGGCTCCATATCCAGCTCAGAGTCCGACACGAGGTTCAATTTTACAGCCCTGAGATCAGGGTGTGAGCTGAAACCAAGAGTCAGGTGCTCAGCTGACTGAGCTATCTAGGGACCCTGACATCTGTTTTCTCTCTTTACATGTATCCTTTCTTTTTGGAACCACTTGAAAGTTGCTGACATCATGATACTTTATGTTCAGCAAGTATCACGGAAGAACAAGGACGTTCACCTCCAAAATGACAATATCATTATCTCCACCCCCTGAAATTTAACATTGATTTGATAATACTATTTACTATTCAGTTTTTACCCTTGGGACAACATTACTTCGTTTATTGTTGCAGGGATCAAGAAATACCCAATAGACATGACAGTGTGACTTGAGGGTCTTTTAGTAGAATTTTGCTCAATAGAAATGACAGTGTGACTTGAGGGTCTTTTAGTAGAATTTTGCTCTCCCCGGATACAAAAAAGTTTCTGGAATTTTGCTGCACACACCTGCCTGAGTTTCAGAGAGATATCTGAGCACCATCAGTTTGATAGCTTCTGGTTTGTGTCCCAAAGAGGCACCCACACTCATTTACCTGCAGCTACTATTATTTTAGACACCAAGCAGGGATATCCGCAGCAGCAACATACGTATGTCTGTAGTCTGTCACTTGAACTTGTATTTCCAAAACCAGATCAAGTGTCAGGCGCAAAAAGATTGAGCCTTTACGTGGGTGTAGTGGTTGGAACACCTGGATTCCAGGCTTGAATCTGTCCTATAAGCTGCGAGGTGTATTTGAGTTCTAGGACTGCGGTGACAATTTTTAAAAAAAGCAAAACTCAGCTGATGAATTTTGAAAGATATCATTAGCTTTAGTCAACAATTCATGAATTGGGAAGCCTCTATTTTAGTGATAGAAAGGAACTCTGAGTTGCTGTACAAAATGGAAGACTCTTACAGACAGAAGGTGGCGGGAGCTGTTACAGTAGCACAGGGGGAGTTAACGAGAAGCAAGTCACACTAGAAAAAAGTAGATTGGTTATGGAGAGGTCACTTTCCTTCAGGAGATGGCGGGTGGTCAGTCAAGCAGATGACCTTGCCAAGGCTGACCAGCTGATTCCTGATTGACTGGTTTAAGATTCCCTTTCTGGGAGAGGTTGAAATTATAATTAAGTTATGTCTCAGTCCCATGTCATGGAGCTTAGCATAAGTGATTCCATTTTGGAATTGTTTCTGTCTTGTTTCTTGTTTCTAACACACAGTACCACAAACTGAACCAACAGGAATGTGCTGTTTCACAGTTCTGCCAGCTGGAAGTCCAAAATCAAGGTGTCCACAGGGCCTGCTCTCTCCGAAGGTGCTAGGGGATGACTCTTTCCTTGCCTTTCTCCCAGCTTCTGATGTTGCCTCCCATTCCTGGTGTCTTTCACTTGTAGATGCTTCACTCCTCCATCCTTATGTGTCTGTCTCCCCCTGTGTGTCTCTGTGTCTCTACTCCACTTCTTATGAGGACACCAGTCTGAGAAGATTGGATTGAGCCCACCCAACTATCTATATCTACAAGGATTATATTTTTAAATAAGGTCACATTCTGGAGTGATGGCAGTTAAGACTTCAACATATGCTTTCAGGGCACATAATTCAACCCATAACATGGGGTCTTGAGCTACCATCTTGGAGTTTGTATTTTCTAAAAGGTTTGTTGCAAAATTTAAGCAAAATACAGGAGAGTTATGCCTATGCCATTTGACGTTAGAGTTTCTGATACACAGTTTATATTCAAGTTTTTCCAATTACCCCAAATGTCCCTCATGTCTTCCTTTTTTGGGGTCCAGTCTCCAACTAAGGGTCACACATTGCATTTTGTTGTCTTGCCTTTTTAGTCTCCTTTAAGTCAGGACAGTGATCCTCAAACCTTTGTGTATGTGAAAATCTGCTGGAGAGCTTATTAAAACAATTTTCTGGGGCTCATCACTGAAGATTTTGAGTCAATGGGTCAGAGTGGGACCCATGGATTGGCATTTCTAACAAAGGAAAGCTGTGTCAAAGCTGCTGGCCCAAGGACCACACTTTTGTGAACCACTGATCCAGAACAGGGATTTGAAAACTTTTTCTGTAGAAGGCCAGGTGGTAGAATAGGTTTTGTGGGCTCTGTTGCAAACACTCACTACAATTATAGGAAGAACAGCCACAGACAATACATAAACAAATGGGTATGGCTATATTCCGATAAAACTTTATTTACAAAGGAGCTCTCTAGCCAGATTTGGTCCTCAGTGTGTTGTTCATATCCCCAACTTGGGAGAGTACTTCTGCTTTTTTGGAGGGGGGTGCCTTACAGACCATTGACATCTTAAAAAAAAAAAGTTTTATTTATTCATTTATTTGTTTGTTTGCTTGTTTATAGCATGAGCAGAGGGAGGGGCAGAGAGAGAGGAAGAGGGACAATCTCAAGCAGATTCCACAGGGAGAACAGAGCCCAATTCTGGGCTCGATCCCATGACCCTGAGATCATGACCTGAACTGAAACCAAAAATCGGATGCTCGATTGAGGACCCAGGTGCCCTGAGCATTGACATTTTTTTTTAAATTGTGTATTCAGTTTTCTTGTAGAATGCTCCACAATATGGGTTTAATTGTTTTATTCTGATTAGATTTAAATTAAACATCTTGATAAGAATATCATGTAAGTGATATTGTGTACTGTAGGGGAAAATTATGGGAGACTTTGAAACAGACCAAAAATAATATCGAGCAACCTCAGTGGAAGACTAGGCACCATCTAATGGCCCCTGCTGGGGTATCTGATTCTATGGGGCTTTGTGCCTTTCATTGCCTTTGAGCTATTTTAAAACTTGAGAGATTGTTGAATACTGTTGATAATATCTATGATTCTTGTCTTTAGAAATGCAAATTGTGTCCATTGAATATGCAATTGATTTTTGACTTATAGATATTGACCAATCCTTCATCTATTGGGCAACTTCAGCGTTCCTGACTGCTTATAAGTGTGTTGGACTCTCTCTTTGGATTCCCCTTTGAGCCAGTTGTAACATGCTACTGATTCTCATGTTAATTAATGAGTTAAATAATATCTTTAATACATGTTCATTTTACATCTGCATCTGAGTCATAATTATGCTCTTTTCAACATTACCTTTAGCAGTACTTTTCATTACATCACTTTAGGAGGCAGAAAACATTATTTTTTCCAAATGTTGGTGATAGTAATCCTAATCACTTGATTAAGGTGTTTCTAGCAGATCTTTCCCGTGTGAAGATATATTTCTCCTTTACTAGGGAAATACACTTTGAGGGTGATACTTTGAGACAAAATGAATATTCTCTAGCTGTAACAGCTTTTTACCTGATGGTTTTAGTATCCCTTGAAGATCTTTGCCTGTATCAATTATAATAGAGGAGTTGCAAAATATGAACCCTTTCTAGATGCCCACAGTTGGACATCTGAGCTCTCCCCCTGAGCCACTACAGTGCTTTCTCTTCTTGGGTTATATTACTCTTTCAATAGCATGGTGACTAAGCCAGACTCTGGCACTGTCTGACTTGGCTCAAACCCAGGCTTCTTACTAGCTGCATGACTGGCAAGTTATTTAATCTCTCTCCTCAGTTTCCTTATCTGTGAAATAGGTGCAATAAAGGTACTTTTTTTTTTTAATAAGGTCGTGTTAGGATTAAATGAGCTAAATGAAAGCACCAGAATGCTACTTTGCACACCATTACCCGCTCAAGAAATGTTAGCCTCTATTGGGTCATGATTACGTGTACGTATTTGCATCCCAGCTTTGCCACATCTTAAAGTGCTTTTGGATCAGTCACTTAACGTCTCTGAGTGTGTTCCTCATTTATAACAAGGGTCCAATCTCGTGGTTTCCAGATTCATGCTTAAGTGCTAGCCAGTAGGGTTTGGCACGGAAAAACATTAAAGAAAAGATGAGCTGGCACCGCTGGGGTTAGTCTGTATCTTTTTATTTGCTCTTAGAGAAGGTAAATTTTTTTGAGCTCAACACTTCAGATTTCTTTTTACTTTCACACAGTGCGTAGCTCAGAGCCGTTCACAAAGTGTGGGTTCAACAGAGTATTTGAATAGAGGAATTAAGGAAGCCCGAAGCCCTGCTGGGTGGCACTCACTTCGCAGTCACGCCTTTGCCTCCTTCATACTCCCCGGCCCCGTATTCGTCCTGCCTCCCTAACGTGGGAAGCCCAGACTTGGGAAATACTCCCAGGGAAGGTTGTGAGAGGTTGTGCTGGGCGAACGCGGGACCCCCGTGCAGGGCTCCAGCGCTGACTCCGCAGAGCAGGGAAAGTGAGTTCCCACTCCTCAAGGCTCCGAGGCGACGCCGCTGCGTGATGGCACTCACGGCTCGGCACCAAGTCGGACCCCCTTATTCTCCCTCCCCGGCGGTGGGTCCGGGTTGAGGTACGGTAACTCGAAGTTGGGACGCTCCCACACCGCGACGCAAAGCGTGCGCAGGAAGAAAGCGAGGCCGGGGTCGGTCCCCGCCGACAGCAGCCGCGGGGACTCAGGCCCGGGCCACGCACCTGCGCCCCGCTCCCCGCCGCGCCGCTTCCTGGCCCGCGCGTGCCGCGCTCACGTGACCGGGCCTGGGCGGAGCCTGGGCGGGCGGGGATCACCTGAACAAGGGAGTCATGTGAGCGGGGCGGGGGAGGGGGCGGGGCCAAGCGCGATCACGTGACGCTGTTCCGGGGCCGCTGCTGCTGCTGCTGCTGCTGCTGCTGCCGCCGCCGCCGCCGCCGCCGCCGTCGCCGCCGCCGAGCCCAGTCGAGCCGCGCGCCCCTCGGGCTCCTGCACCGCTCCCGCTCCTCTCGTGCCCCTCGCCACCTCTTCGCCTCCAGCTCAGCCTCCGCCCTGGCTGCACGACCATGTCCCGGCCGCGGCCCCCGGCAGCCGCGCGCCGCTAGCCCCGCGCTCGCCGCGCAGTCCGGGCCGGGCGCGATGGGGGCCGCCGTCGGCCGGGGCGCCCACCTAGGGCCCGCGCCCGCCGGCCGCCCGCTGCGCTCCCTCCTGCTGCTGCAGCTCCTGCTGCTCGTCTGGGCCCCGGGATCCGCGCTGGCCCAGGGCGCCGAGTTCCCCGAGCTGTGCAGGTGGGTGGCCCGCCGGGGCGCAGGCTTTGCTCGCGGTGCCCGGGGCGCGCAGCTGGGCTGGGTGGGGGGCGGGGGCGCTCTGGGGAGAGGCTGGGCTTCCCGAGTCGCCTTTTTTCTGGGTTTGGGTTCCCCTGGCCCCGAGGGAAAGTTGCCCGCATAGTGGCGAGGGATGAGAGACCGAGGGGTCGTGCGCGCGCGGGCGGGGGGCGCGGGGTACTGGCCGTCCTGGCGCTGGCCCGGGGGGCCGCTGCCTAGCCACTTGTGGCTGTCACTAAGTCCGGGGCGTCTTTGTGTGTGAGCAGCCGGCCGCCCGGACCCAGCCGGGTGTCACACTGCGGGCGCCCTCCGCCCAGCTCTTGCCCTCTCACAGCGGAGCGCCTGCGAAAGTTGGAGGACGCAGGAACTACAGCTTCGCTTTGTTCCCACTCCACGTTTTCCTCAAAGTTCACCAGCTGGTCTTTGGAGAGGGCCCTTAGTGTGGAAGGATACCGCACGAATGGCCTTAGAGTTGGAGGGGGGGGTGGTTTCATTTGCTAATTGATTTCCTCCATGTAGGTTTTTCCTTTTCTCATTAAAGTAGCTTTTCTGCAGAAGGTGACTGACTTTTTTTTTTTTTTTTTTTTTGGATCAAGGGACTGGAGGGTGGTCATCCTGTATTGGCTTTCAAGACTTTACCCTTCACATCTCCGAGCCTAACTTCCTGTCTAGTTGCTCACATGATGTCATTGTCTCCAGGGTGGATTATTCTAGTGGAGCCTTTTGCTCTGGGAATCATGATTGTATAATCGCCAGTCCCATCGAGGGCTGGTAGTGTCCTATGCGGGCGAGGATGGGAGTCCCGGGGCTGGGGAACTGCCAGTTAGGAGAATTTTCTGACCAACCTTTTGTGGACTATTTAGGATGATGGAGAAACCAACTTTTATTTATTTATTTATTTTTAAACTTTGGTGGAAGGAAGCAGGGCGAAGAGTTTGGAAAGACCAGTGAACTGGTGCTTCCAAGTTATATCTCAGAATGAAGTTGAGCCTGCTTTGAGCTGAACTTTGAGTTTGTGGTGGGGTTTAAGGGATTCTTAGTTTTCCCTTGTATCAGACATGGTCTAATTTGTACCCCTGAGTTTAGAACTCGCAGATAACACTGTTCTATGGAGAGTGAGACTGAGCTCACAAAAGAAATTCTTTGCAAGGTCCACGTTCTTTATTTCTTTTCCCTTTTTGGGGAGAGGGGAGGAAGGCAGACTGGAGTGTTTACTGCACATTAGTTAATAGGTTAGTTGGCTGCTCTAAGATACATATTACACAGTAATGAGCGTGGTACACGGAAAAGGGGGTCGACTTCTGTCAGGTCAAGCTGCAGCTAACATTTAAAGGAGGAGGTTTTGGAATAATGGCTGCTGCGACCAGTCCTGTTGGGAAGAAAGTAACTGGGCTAGTGGTCTTGAAGTCTTGGTCCTGTTAGCAAATTGGAATTTATTTTTTAATAGTTAAGGTTAAAGTTGGTTTTGGTTGCAGAAACATGTAAGTGGCTGATAGAGGGTTGGGGGGTGCCTTAGTTTCACCGAAAGTGAGTCCTCAAAGCGACTTGAATTTGAATCTGCATTTGTTAACCTCCTTTTCGAGTGGAACATGGCTTCTGGGTCCAGTAGGAAATGGCCTTTGTATCTTCAACTTTGCAAATGCTAGAGAGTGTTCCAGGGTGATATGCATTGTTAGTGGGACAAATGTGTCCTCTGCGGTCTTAGAATATCTTTAAAGTTGGAGTGTTTGCTTTTTCTTCCAGATTTCCTTAGGACAGCAAATCTCCCCATCCATTCAGGGGTGGGCTTGGACACATTTCTTTTCCGTGTCTGTTACTGCTCTGCGGTTTTGTGTTGAGACTTCTCCAGAGCTGTGCATAATCTCAATTTTAAACTTAATATGCCGCCAAATGAAATTCTTCCTATTTTTTCCTGTTTTAAGTGAATACCTTGGCTTAAATGCTTGTTAAGACATTTTTTTGGGGGGGAGTATAAAAAATCTGTGTGTACTTTTATGAGATAACGCTGGCTAAAATTCCTTAACTCTAGCTTATATTTGGAGAACAGGAATGCAAGCTGATAATTTTTTAAATCCAGTATGAAAAGTTCTACTTAGTATCACTAAAGCGGGTTGTGTTAAGCTGTCTTTTTATTCTGTCTCTGGGAGTCCATTTGTCTGAAATGTGAATGACCCACCCAGATCCCCCCCAGAAGTATGAAAAGCAGACTGTACAAGTGTTACTTTTTGTGTAGCTTCGTCAAACGGCAGCAGGCCCCAGGTAGACATCGCAGTAGACACAAGGATCACATCCCAAATATTTGTAAATTGCTTGTTTGTAACACAGAACATACTTTTTTCCACCGAAAATTCTCTTGTTCGTTGTGGTTTGGCATCTAGGGCAGTCACCAGAAACCCGTCATCCATGCCACAGTTTGTAGTGCCCAGACACTGTACAGCTTTAACTAGCGCCCTGCTAGTAAATTGTCATTGTCTGTCAATAAAAGAGTTGGGTCCCAGGAAGCAACTTCTCTCTTACCCAGTTCTCTAGAACCAAAAAGGATACTTGTCATCTGCGATCCCTTAGAATCGCAGGGAGGGAAGAGGAGGGAAGTTGAATAGGCTTCAGGGCTGCCAGCAGGTCACCTGGCGAGGCCCCTGGGTGAGGGCAAAGCTGAGGGCCAGCTGTGGGCCTGCTGTCTTCTGGGGTAAGGAGGTGGCAGGGGTGTGGTTCCTGGTGCAGTTAGTTACTGGGAGGGGTGAGGGAAACAGTGGAGAACTATTGGAGCAGCATTTGTGCTCATGGAGGAGAGAACAGGTCTCTGTGGGTTGTGCATTGAAAAGCAGGGGCAAGAAAGGCAATTTTCCCAAAGGCATGGGCCTCTACTGAGTGCTTCACATGCCGCTTCTTAGAGCGCCTTAGTTGAATGTTTTCTAAGACTCGAGATGATTGCTGTGCCAGGTGAGCCCTGAGCTGGAGAAAAAAGTTGGTGGATTCTTCATCACTCAGCTGTTTTGGGAGGTGGTGTGCTAGTGGAAAGAACGTGTTTCCTGAGGCCAGTGTGACTGGCTGTGGGTCTGGCATGGACAGAGGTCCCGGGGAAGGAGGAGTGTTAGTGCTGCTGAGGAATGTCTGGAGGTCAGTGGGGCTGGAACAGTGAAAGCAAGTGGTGGGAGGGCAGAAGCCAGGCCATGCAAAGTCATCATCAAGTCACCAAAAGTGACCAACATGCTCTCTGCTCGTCTGTAGCCTTACTCATCACTGTGTGACTTACACTTTGGAAACTACCATTTTACAACATATATGGTAGATGAGTTTCCATTTTGTTTAGGTGTTAACATCCTAAGGGGTCCTAACAGTTTACACTAGTTATAAAATAATGCATTGGGCTGCTTGATTTAAGTAAAGTACTTTATAATTTATTCAGAACAAGTTTCCCCCCAGTTGTTTGGGTACAAATGCTGGAAAGTTTTTATTATATTGAGAACAAGAGAATAATGAAGCCAGCTGGGAGTTGAGGTTGGTTTGGTTGCTGTCTCTAAGGAGATTTTTTTTTTCCTGCAATTTTTCTGAAGGAACAATGCTTATATGCTTAATTTGGGCCACATGTTAAACCTGGACCACATCCATTTGTGTGTGCAATTTCTTGCAACAATAAGTGTGTGTAGAAGCCCAAGGTTGTTAATTATGGGTACATTAGATCTCATGCATTAATTTTTAGAACAGCATCCTGACGAATTCCTAGGAAACGAATTCTTGGAGGGATTTCACATCTTTTATCAGTGTTTCGTAGAAGGAGTTTTGAAAGATGGGGTTGAGAAAAATAATTCATATGTTCTCGTCTTTATTTTGACCTCAGCATGTAAAACTGTATCGTGCTGGTCAGAGGATTCATTAGGGTCTCAGAATGGGGACTTAGTGGCAGAAAGTAGCTCATTACTTTGGAGGTAACATTCTTTTTCTTTTTTTCTCCCCCCCCCCCCACCACCCCAGTTGTGGGGATCTATCTCTTGGTAATACCCTCATTGGTCATTGACGGTGTATGAGAAGGTGGAAGTGGCTGAGATTGGGTATACCTATGGGTCCTTTGTGTCTTCCTCATAGCTGACTCGTGACCATTGAGGGACAGAAGCCTGAAATTATACCGATAGTGTCTCCTCATCTTTAATCCTGGCAGGGTGACATAGGATTCATTTATGCCTCAATAATTTCTTAAGCAGAGGGACAGTTGGGTGGGGCCAGAGCTGAAATTGGAGCCACCACGAATGGAATGGCATGGTGTTGAAATCCCAGAAGACTGTGCTGGCCACGATTGCCCTCCCTAGGGAGACAGCAACCATGCACACCCTTCTCCAGTTATTTTTGTTAGTTTTAAATAATGTCATTTTAGTTTTGATTTTCTCTTTGATCTAAAAATAGTCTAGGTGTTAAACTAGCTTTTGGCTGTTATAAATAAAAAGCTGTTGAGTATTTGCACACAAGATTTTGCATAGACTTTCCTTTTTTTCTTAAGTAGATATGTGGGAGTGTCTGACTATTCGTTTTGCATTGTCCATTGTCCATTTTGCATTCCCACCAGCGTTATATGAGAGTTTCAGTTCTCTGTCCTTGTCAACACTTGGTCTTATCAGTCTTTTTAATTTTAGCCATTCTAGTGGGTTTGTAGTGGTATCTCAGTGTGGTCTTAATTTTCATATTCCTGACTCATGATGTTGACTATCTTTTCATGTGTTTATTGACCATTTGGACAGCCTTCAGTAATGCCTATTAAAACCAGTCTTTTGTCACCCGCCTCCCCAATTCTTTTGGGGAGGGATCATCTTAACAAGTTTTAAGAGCTCTGTATGTGTTCTGAGTACAAGTCCTTTATGTCTGTGTAATGTGTACTGTGAATATTTTTTCCCGGTCTTTGGCTTGCCTTTTCATTTTTAAAATATGTACTTTGATCAACAGATACTTTTAAATTTTGACAAAATTCTATCTTT